AGGAAAATTCTCTCTCTCGGAGCTGGAACACCCATTTTCTCCTGCCCTTGGACATCAGAGCCCCAGGTTCTCCGGCTGCCAGATTCTGGGACTCAAACCAGTGGCCGCCTGGTTTCTCAGGCCTTCAATCTCAAACTGAGGGTTACACCATCAGCTCCCTAGTTCTCAGGTCTTTCCATTTACACTGAGCCATGCTACTGGTTTCCCTGGCTAACTAGCATGCAGATGCATATCACGGGACTTCTCAGCCTTCATAATCATTCAAGTCAATTTTCATGATAAATGCCCTCTCATTTATCTACCTACTTACCTATCCATCCTATTGGTTCTGTTTCTCTGGAGAAACCTAATACACCCATCCCTGCTTTGCAACCTGGAAACTGGCTCCAGGCAGTAAACTGGACAAAGGACTCTCCTCGTTTGTGTCGCTCCTCCTGGGGAACACTGCTGTCCAATGTCCAATATCTGTTTTATATATTCTGTCAGGGTTTTAAATTTTAAGGCAGGGAGGCAGATTACATCCCTATTTTTCTTTTAAATTTAAATACCATCCAGAATAAAAAAGCCTGTACTTACAAACCCTTAAAACCTAGCATAGAAAAGACTCACTTATCCTAGCAGTGAAAATTGTCCCATTTTCTCCATAGCAATGCTGAACAGGATCAATTTGTTTTGACAACTGTTATGACTACCAAGAAAGAAAGGAAGTTCCTTAAAAGAAGATTTCTGGCCAGGCGCAGGCCCAGTATTTTGGGAGGCCGAGGCAAGTGGATCACGAGGTCAGGAGTTCAAGACCAGCCTGGCCAACATGGTGAAACCCCATCTCTACTAAAAATACAAAAATTATCCAGGCGTGGTGGTGGGTGCCTGTAATCCCAGCTACTCAGGAGGCTAAGGCAGGAGAATCCTTTGAACCCAGGAGGCGGAGGTTGCAGTGAGCCGAGATCGCACCATTGCACTCTAGCCTGGGCAACACAGCAAGACTATGTCTCAAAAAAAAAAAAAAAGAAAAGATTTCTTAAACTTGGATTTACGGTAAACAAATTTTACTCATTTACCGCCACAAGTGGTAATTACATCACATGTCTCCCTCGCCTTCTGTAATTCTCTCAATGTGGCAGCTCTGTCATACTGCAGGGGAATGCTGTAGCCTTCATCTTTCCCATTTGCACAGATGCTGCGTCTAGCTTTGACAACAACACAATATGATGTCTGGGAGGCTAAAATGCCTATAAGGAGCCTTGCCAAACAGAAGGCTTTATACTGCAAAGTGTTGTAACAACAAGCAAACACTGCTTTCTGAGAAGCACTTTCCTGCACAGAAAAGAGTTCTAAATTATTTCTGAAAGTGAGAGAAACCCCATCATCTGGCATTTGATGATCCTCCATTGCCAAGATGGGAAGGTACTCTTCAAGCAGATCCTCCCTTTGACAGAAATGGTAGCACGTATGTGAGGTAATGTTGGTAGGTGGTTTAGAAAAGGTCGGAAAGAGTTGATTTTATTCCATGATCAATTTCAAATATCCTAGCTGGTGGGCTGGATGTGGTAGCTCACACCTATAATCCCAGCATTTTGGGAGGCCAAGATGGGTGGATCACTCGAGGCCAGGAGTTCAAGACCAGCCTGGGACAACATGGTGAAACCCTGTCTGACATGGTTAGGCTTTGTGTCCCCACCCAAATCTCATCTTGAATTGTAATCTCCATAATCCCCATGTGTCAAGGGAGAGACCAGGTGGAGGTAATTAAATCGTGGAAGCAGTTTCTCTCATGCTGTTCTCATGACAGTGAGTGAGCTCCCACAAGATCTGATGGTTACATAAGGGTCTCTTCTGCCTTTGCTTGGGACTTCTCCTTCCTGGCACCTTGTGAAGAAGGTATCTTGCTTCCTCTTCACTTTCCACCATGATTGTAAGTCTCCTGAGGCCTCCCCAGCCAAACTGAACTGTGAGTCAGTTAAACCTCTTTCCTTTATAAATTACCCAGTCTCAGGTATTTCTTCATAGTAGTGTGAGAACAGACTAATATATCATCTCTACTAAAAATACAAAAATTAGCCAGGAGTGGTGGCGTGCACCTGTAATCCCAGCTACTTGGGACACTGAGGCAGGAGAATTACTTGAACCTGGGAGGCGGAGGTTTCAGTGAGCCAAGATTGCACCACTGCACTCCACCCTAGCCTGGCCGACACAGGAAGACTCTGTCAAAAAAAAAACAAAAAAAAACCTGGCTGGACTTTCCTTATATGCACATCAACATAATCATCAGTGTAAGCTGGGCCCTCATGTTATTCTGTAAAAGGTGAATGGTAACTATAAACAGGGAAGGGTGTGTTGGGTGCAGGGGAAATGACCTGTTAGGCAGGTAAGGCCAGATTGAGATTCAACTAGGAAATGCTCAAAGGTTGTCCTCCAGGTCTCTATACCTTCACATGGTCTTCAGATTCCTTCTTCATTCTCCCTCACCCAGTTCTTCAGGGGCTAACCCCACCCTCCACCCCAGATCCAAGCAACTCCTCGACAGGATCCTGTGCTCTCTCCAGAGCTAATGTATGGTCTGTTGCCCATTTACAGAGATGGGTAGAAATTGAGTGTGAGCATTTAAAAACTTTTATAGCAATCAACAGAGAAATTTTAAATCAGTTGAATATAACTAATAATATTATAAACTAGGACTTCTATTTTTCACTTTTGTTTTTTCTCATAATTCATTTTTGTTATATTTTGCAAAAGTAACTATCCTTAACACTGTAGCCTGGGCAACAGAGTGAGACCTTGTCCCAAAAAAAAAAAAAAAAAAAACCAGTGCCAATATCCAAGAGTCTGTGAGAGAAGACATGTATGAAGGTCAGCTGGCCCCATATCAAGAGGAGCTGGAAACATGTGACCACAGTGAATTCTGCATTGAATCTTGGCTTCAGGAACCACTACTTTGGCTGATTTAAAAGACCATAGTATAATATAATCTGATACCTCCCTGTTGTTTCAAGCATCGAAATCTAAGATTGAATAAAGAAAGCCCCATATGTTGTCCAAATAGAGATATCTGTAAGTCTTCAGGTGAACATTAAAATCTGGATATACATAGTGTTTGAGGAAAGAAAAAAAAAAATCAATAACCTAGAGGCCAAACAAGAGTAAATGGCTAAGCAAAGCCATCAATACCTGCTAGAGCAGCTGGCTTGGACACCAGGTAGATCGTGAACTGACCAGTGTGACAACCATCCAGAAACTTAGAAAATCATACAAAATAACACATCTCTATTGCAGTAATGTTTATGCTTCCTAATGTTAAAAAGGAAGAGGATCTGGATATTCAATAACAGAGAAATGGTTGAACAATTTAGTATAATGCCCTCATTTCAAAGATTGTGTTAGATCTCTCCTAGTTGACCCAGAATGGTTTCACAGCATTTTGAAAAGTTAAAAAAAAAAAAAAAAATCCAGGAGTTCGAGACCAGCTTGGCCAACATAGGGAGACCTCACCTCTACAAAAAATACAAAAATTAGTCGGGTGTGGTGGCAGGTGCTTGTGGTCCCAGATACTCAGGTGGCTGAGGTGGGAGAATCACTTGAGCCCAGGAGGTCGGAACTGCAGTAAGCCATGATCGTGCCACTGCATTCCAGCAGGGGCAACAGAGTGACATTCTGTCTCAAAAAGAAAAGTGAAAAAACAAGATACAGACTGCGCACAGTGGCTCATGCTTATAAATTCCAGAACTTTGGGAGGCTGAGGTGGGAAGACTGCTTGAGGTCAGGAGTTCAAGGCCACCTCTGGCAACACAGCAAGATTCCGTCTCTACAAAAAAAAATTGTTTTAATTAACCAGGTCTGGTGGTATGCACCTGTAGTCCAAGCTACTTGTGAGGCCGAGGTGGGAGGATCACTTGAGCTCAGTTCTAGGTTACAGTGAGCTATGATCATGCCACTGCCCTCCAGCCTGGGCAGCAGAGCAAGACCCTGTCTCAAAAAAAGAAAAGAAAAAAGGAAGGGAAGGAAGGAAGGGTCACGAAAGTTATAGTGTTATTTTAAGGGAAGGTATTCCTGATTTTATTTTCTTCCTTGTATGTTTTTCTCATTTGAATGTTTATTTACAATAACCAAATATTATTTATATAAGAAAAAGCCAACAAAACTAAACCATCTGCATATCCTAGACACCTTATTTCCCTCCTCTACCTCCCACTTTTCCCTCAAGTCAAGTCCCTTGCTCCCTGACCTCATGCCACAATGTCAGTTCAGGCTCTCATTGCCTCTAATGGGCCCCCAGCTTCAGTCTCTGCCCTTTCTAGTCCTCCACATGAAAACCAGAGTGACCTTTCTATATTGCATATCTGTGCATGACACTCCCCTGCCTGAACCTCTTCTAAGCTGCCCAAAGCCCGAGCAGCAGTTTCTAATCTTCAGCACTGCATTTTACAGTCATGCCTACTTCCCTCTGCTCTTTCCTGAAGATTTGTTCAAACATCATTCCCTTCTGCAACAACTCCAGCATTTCTCCTATTTTCCAGTAGTACTTTGTGTAGACTTTATCATAGCACAGAAATCATTATTTTTAATTATTTGTTTTCTCTCCCTCCCTGCCTACACTATGAGCTATTTGAGGGTAGGACCATATCTTTACCGAATGAATCAATCTAAAAAAGTAGGACCCCAAACGTAAGTATAAATGCATGCCAACCATGTAAAGTGTCTGTGTAAGCAATGAAAAAAGGTTAAAAGATAAACAATTTAAAGTTATTTTCTTTTTCTTTTCCAGCAAGTGGCTTGAGCTACTTTTAAACTGATTGCCAGTCATTCACTTAATGAGTAATTTATGTCCAAGTTACCAAAAGTTATCTACAGTTTAAATCACTATCAAAATAAAAACAAAGTCCAAAAGGAAACCATTTTACCCTTTTCAAATAAAATAGAAGTTCAACATTCTTCTTACTGTCACACTAGTTGTAGAAACAGCATCTCTCCCCAATAAAACATGGCCCAGCTGTGTGGTTACTTACTGGAATTGAGCAGGATCATGGCCTTGACACAGAGATACTCTTTGTGTTGGAGTTTTAACTCTCGAAACCTTGAAGTAGTTGCCAGGAGCATGTCAAAGATTTCCAGAATTCCTTCTACGCATTTCCCCTCATCCCTACAAAAGTTCGTTTGGAAATTTAAGGAACATAGCTTCAGGAAACCATCAAAAAAACAATAAGGAGTGTTTTCTTTTTAATCTCAAGTTTCATCTTGTAACATGTTCATCTGATAATACAATTTTAACTACAACAGGGTGTTAATGAGACCACACCCAGCAATATGAAATTACTAGAATTATCTTCATATAAAGAAGACAGGCCATTTCCTATAAATCCCAAAAGTAAATATATGAATAAATATTATTTAGGCAACAATGTGCATTGGAATATTTTCCTGCTATATTTTCACCAAATGTTTTCTTACAGCAATACCACTCCTATTGATTGTTTTCAATCAAAACCATGTCAGTCAACCAGCCCCAGATATGACACATTTTTTAAAACGAGACATTCCACGTTCCCATCGGGAAGTATTAATGAGGAAGACTGTGTGTCATAGAAGCAAGTGTCCCAAGAATAAAACTCCATACCTAAGGCTTAACTCTCACTTCCTGGTGGTCATTTAGAAACTGGTGTAGCAACTAAGACATTTACCTGTAATTTGAAAAAGCTGAATATGACAAAGAAATCACAATTAGAGAAGATGGATTAGAATCAGGAAAAGGTATACACGGAGGTGGGGAAAATTTTTGACTTGCCAAGGATTATCTTCACGCAAGGATTATCTTTAAACCTTGAGCCATCTAATCAAAATTCTTTGGAGCACTCCTTATAGAAATAAATGTTTAAATATACTTTGAAAATAAATTATTTGAACTTTATCTGGAAAATACCAGCTTCTATTCACTCCAGCCAGACACACATTATTCCACCTCACTGCTCCCCCAAAACACTCTATTATTATCAGTCACAGGGTTATTGGAAGTCCTTGACAAGCAGTTAGATGATTTTGTCATAAAACCACTGTTTGTTCCTGAAAGCCGGCAGCACACAGGAAGGGCAATGGGTTTATGTGAGTTCCATTTTCAGTCTCTAGCAGCCCCTGAAGGGGCCTTGAGGTCTTCAAAGAGCTGGCTGCTCCCCTCCTCCTTCCCCTAACTCAGGGCATTTCCAGTGATGGCAGTATTTCAGGGAAGAGCCTCTGACACCACTGGATAAACCAATCCTGTGTAAGTCTTTCCCATTAGCTGCTGTGTACATGGCACTCATCGGGATCCTGCATTCCGAAGCATTCACACTCTCCCACCCAGACTCACTCACACAGAGCTACAAGCGTGCAAATTGCTCACTTTGGCATATGAGCATTACTAAGTTACTAAATTTACTAAATCGTAAATTCTGTAAACACCTGCAATTTTCTGTAAGTACACAGGTTAAGTGACAAAACACCAGTGCCCCCTGGAAGTCACTCATAGGAAAAGGCCATCTTAGAGAATCCAGAGCACTGGGCAAAGAGTGCCAAATCTACAGGAAGCCTCATCTTTCCACCTCCCCAGCTCCAGGCTCTCCCAGGCAACCTGATGCAGGCATCCAGTAAGGACAACACAAGCCCTGCAAAGAGATAACACACAAAACACCTGGGCACTGAATCCCTTCATGACACATCACTGAATCACCCTGCCTGTGGACAATTCGTTATGGGAAATTGTAACTGTTGGACTTGGGGACATTTGATACTAAGGAAAGCAGTTTGAAAAGATCTCTGTGGGGGAAAAAAAACTCCTGCATTGATAGTCTGATTATCTCTTTATTCTTCTGTGCTGATGTGGGATTATACACACATGCACAACACATACATACATACACACACACACACTCACACACACCCCTCCCCAAGTGGTATGGTAAGGGGACCAACCTGAAATCAATCCTATTTTCCAGAAGTACCTGTGCCTTAGTTCTTAAATATTGAAATTGGTATCATTTCCTCATTAAAATATATGCCATTTTCACTACAAATTTTTGTTTCAAAAATGGGGGGAGGGTTTGCATACTGAGGTATTTTAAACCGTGATAAAGGCTGTCACTCACAGTAATCAGACCATATATACCTCATGGAAAAAGTTAATTTCTAAACAAAGTCTAAAGAACTAGGTCTGATTGCTTTCTTTTTAAGCAGGTGTGACAGTCAACCATTTCATTCAAGGAGTGGCAAAGTTAGAATATTTTTATTCACTTCACAGTCTGCAGAAACCAAATACATTTCTACAAAATAAATGAGAAATGAAGGGGCAATAAAGTATAAGACATCATAAATGACAGCCCAATAAAGTTCTTTCAGATGAGTTATACAGAACAAAGTTAGGAAAGACTCTAAAGTAAATTAGTGACATCTATTTTATTTATTTTATAATTTTAGATTGAAACTGAATTATGAGTAAGAAATTAGGACAGGGTTAAAAGAGTTGAATTAAAGACAGGCTGGCTGCTCATGTCTGTAATCCCCGTGCTTTGGGGAGGTCAAAGTGGGAGGATCACTTGAGGCCAAGAGTTCCAGACCCCCCTGGGCAACATAGCGAGACCTTGTCTCTACAAAATAATAATAATAAACCAGGCATGGTAGCATATACCTATAGTCCCAGCTACTCAGGGGGCTAAGGCAAAAGATCACTTGAGGCCAGAAGCCCGAGGTTGCAGTGAGCTATGATGGCACTGCTGTATTCCAGCCTAGGCCACAGAGCAAGACCCTGTCTCTAAATTAACAAAAACAGAAACAAAAACAGGACATACGATTTCAATGTTAAAATATTGAAACAATGTATCAATCAAACTGACCTACTCAGGAAATTTATTTTTGCACACTATCTGTCCATCAACTACTAAATAAAATCAGTAATAACATGGAATATCTTTGTATTAGTCCATTTTCGCATTGCTATAAAGCATTACCTGAGACTGGGTAATCTATGAAGAAAAAAGGTTTAACTGACTCACAGTTCTGCATGGCTAGGGAGGCCTCAGGAAACTTACCATCATGGCAGAGAGCAAAGGGAAACCAAGGCACATCTTACACGGAGGCAGAAGAGCGAGCGATTGAACGAGACGGGGGAGCTGCCAAACACTTTTAAAGCATCAGCTCCCATGAGAACTCACTCACTATCATGAGAATAGCATAGGGGAAACCGTCTCGATGATCCGATCACTCCCACCAGGTCCCTCCCTTGACAATTTCAGATGAGATTTGCTGGGGACACAGAGCCAAACCATATCAATTTTATTACTTGATAATAACTTTTTTTTTTTTTTTGAGACAGGGTCTCACTCCAATGCCCAGACTGGAGTGCAGCGGCATGATCTCTGCTCACTGCAACCTCCGCCTCCTGGGTTCAAGTGATTCTCCTGCCTCAGCCTCCCATGTAGCAGGGATTATAGGCACACACCACTATGCCTGGCTAATTTTTGCATTTTTAGTAGAGAAGGGGTTTCACCATGTTGGCCAGGCTGGTCTTGAACTCCTGACCTCAAGTGATCCACTCGCCTCAGCCTCCCAAGGTGCTGGGACTACAGGCATGAGCTACCGAGCCTGGCCAATATTCACTCTTTATAAAATAAGAATATTGTTTTTTATTTTTTTTGAGATGGAGTCTTGCTCTGTCACCCCAGGTGGAGTGCAATGAAGTGATCTCTGCTCACTGCAACCTCCACTTCCTGGGTTCAAGCAATTCTCCTGCCTCAGCTTCCCAAGTAGCTGGGATTACAGGCACCTGCTACCACACCCAGCTAACTTTTGTATTTTTAGTAGAGACGGGGTTTCATCATGTTGTCAGGCTTGTCTCGAACTCCTGACCTAAGGTGATCTACCCATCTCGGTCTCCCAAAGTGCTGGAATTACAGGTGTAAGCCACCGTGCCTGGCCTAAAGAAGAGTATTGTTTAATACAACAACAAAATGTTGAATGAGTGGGCCTCCCTTTGGGGTACACTATTTTGTACCTATATATATATACCTGCTGGCAGCACACACCTGGGTACAGACTGTGGTTTACCTCTGTGTATATGGCAATGGCAGGGAGTGCTTAAGGCTTAGAACATAAAAAGGACTTAATAACTGAAGTGAAATCACTTATGTACAAAGGGTAAATTAAAATTCGGAATTGAAAATTCAGTGGCTACCTTGAAGGAATTTAGCATACAAATAACTAATGTGAATATAAACTCAAGACATTTATACATATATAATTCCATGAACCTCTCTGCAAATGTCCACAATGGGATCCAAGCCCAGATACAAACTTCCTCTGACTAATAATTTAACATTAGTCAGTTGCCTGTTGATACTAAGGACACAAAAATGCCTTTGCATATGTGATTTTTATGAATTCCGTGGTTAGTAAAAGAAGAACTAAATGCTTAGAAATAAGCTGAAGTAACTAGATTTTCCTCTCATCCTCAATAGATACAAGTTTTCTTGTTGCAGAAACCTCAACAAGAATAAAGGGAAACAGAAATTATAGTTTCAGTATCCACAAATGGGCTGTTAGTTGTATTCACTGTTTATACAGCCATATTACCACTTGAAGAAACTCTGGTAGGACAATCCAGCAGAAGACAGTTATTTTCAAATGGTGTGAAGATTATGTCTTCATTTTGCAAAAAAGAGTTGTAATAGAACTCCTTTATGGAGCATGACTCCTGACTTTTTGAATGAGCAACTCCTCTACAAATACACCTATTACGTAAAAGTATATTCATCTGTGTAAGAGATGACTACGTAACTGAACTATCTTAGACTTCAAGTTCCTGACTTTACAAAGTTAATGGGTTAAAAATGCTAGAGATTGTAGGCTGGGAGCGGTGGCTCACGCCTGTAATCCCAACACTTTGGGAGGCTGAGGTTGGGGGATCACTTGAAGTCAGGACCTCAAGACCAGCCTGGCCAACATGGTAAAACCCCGTCTCTACTAAAAAAAAATAATAATAATAATAATAATACAAAAATTGGCCAGGTGTAGTGGCACATGCCTGTAATCCCAGCTACTCGGGAGGCTGAGGCACAAGAATCGCTTGAGCCTGGGAGGCGGAGGTTGCAGTGAGCTGAGATTGCGCCATCGCATTCCAGCCTGGGTGACAGAGTGAGACTCCATCTCAAAAACAAAAAACAAACAAACAAAAACTACTAGAAATTGCAACAAAAAATAAACACCAGTAATCATTCAAAAAAAAAAAAAAGTCTGCTCAATGTGAAGCATTTACAATTCCCAAGAATTCCTCTTCTATACTCAAACATACTGGATTTATGTTGTAAAACATAATACTTTCATATAAGTTATAAAGGCAGTGTGAGTCTATCATAAATAATTTGTTAAAAAAATAACTTTTCTTCTATTAACTAAAAGGTAGGCCTAATATTTTTCCAGGATTTGTGTCCACTTATAGTAATATATACACACAATTACAGGAATTAAAGAACCCATACAGAGAAATGGGAGAGTGGAGAGTTAATTGTCCTAAAAACCAGGAATGAATCAGTCACCAAAAATAAACACTAAATTTGGCATCAATTTAGAAATCAAGACAATAGATAAAATAAATTAATCCAAAAGTCTGCAAATTATTTGATTTGTCAAGGGATGGAACGTCTCCCTAGGACTAACCTCTAGGAGAATTATATGTGTGTATTTATACATATGTATATTTGGCCTCAGTTAAAACCCAAGCAGAATACGATGGCTTGGCTAGGTGCTTGGCATTTCAGCCTGCCTTGCAACATGGTACCCCGAGATGACAGTGGGGAGAGTGGGTTTCTGCAGTGTGTTATGAGTAGAACAGGACTGTTCTCTACCAAAACATCTCTGTACTGAAGAATGTGCTCTTTGTCTACATTGTCACCCAGGACAACAGGCAGAATAAGGTAGACAGTTTGCCGTTTGGCAACCCCCTAAGTCCAGCTCCACCACCTACTATCCTACCTGTCAGCAGGTTTCTTAATCTCCCATTTCCAAATATCTGAATGATAGAGATAATAATGGGTCCTACTCCCTTAAAGAGTGCAGGAAGATTGTGAAGATTAAATGTGTTGACATAAGTTAAATGCATAAGGTGCTGCTAAGCACATACAAGCCAATAGGTTAGCTATTTTGTTTGTTACTGAAGCGTCTTGTGCCCTGCACTTCTCTGGTTTTCCAGAGCCTCCCTCCATGGTTTACCACCTGGGCTCTCGTTCAAGTCAATCCATCCTCCAGCTCTTCCCAAAGGATCTGTTCTCTGTCAAAACACCTTCATTATGCAGAACAGTGCTCTTTTAATAACATTGTCAACCATGACAAAAGGCAGAATGGGGACTGATACCTTGGGGCATCACTCTTCATCTGTGTAACACAGGGTCTTCGGATGATCTTAAAGTGGTAACAGGATTATAATGCAAGAGTTGGGGTAGACACTAGGCATCCTCCCACACTGTGCAGAGTCAGATGTGGCTGAACATTCAACACTAGCATTTTTTCCACAAAAGGGGCGTGGAAATCAATTTCCATGCAGATTTCAAACTGCTCAAATTCACACCAGGAGGGTATTCTACTTTCCTGCTAAAAAGTTTGAGTGTTTTTATATAGTCCAGCTTTCCCTCCATAAACAGTTCACCTAAGTCAATTAAAAACTGGTTCCTTTTCTGTCATCTTTAAAAGAAAATCAAATGCAACCAAGACATAGATAGCATCATGTCCCATTTTCTGTTAAGTTTCATGTAGTTTTAGTAACCCTTCCTTCCACCACTATTGCCAAAAATGCTATATAGTACATGCATTAGAATGAGTTAAAGCAGACTGGGCACAGTGGGGGCTGTAATCCCAGAGCTTTGGGAGGCCGAGGTGGGTGGATCGCCTGAGGTCAGGAGTTCAAGATCAGCCTGGCCAACATGGTGAAACCACTTCTCTACTAAAAATAGAAAAATTAGCCTGGCGTGGTGGTGGGCACCTGTGATCCCAACTACTCAAGGGGCTGAGGCAGGAGAATCACTTGAATCCAAGAAGCGGAGGTTGCAGTGAGCCAAGATTGCACCTCTGCACTCCAGCCTGAGTGACAGTGAGACTCCATCTCAGAAAAAAAAAAAAAAGAATGAGTTAAAGCATAAGAAAATAAACTTGGCAGATTTGTAAGAATTTTATCACCTGTCCAGAAAGCTCCAGATGTAATTGGTCACTATAGGTACAAAAAACAACAGGACAACTTAAGATTATAACCTGAAAATGGAATTTTTAATGCAGAAAAGTCTGTCGACTTATACATGTAGTGGCCACATACCTACAGGATACACTCCCCTATTAAAGTGCTGGCCTGTAAATGCTGCTGCACCACAGATTAAAAATGAGTCACAGGACCCTGAATCCCTGGACCCAACTCTCTCCTCTTCTGGTTCTTGACCCAGTGAAGGAGCTGATGATACTATCATCCTCTAATTGCCCTGCAAGTGTGAGATTTTAATTGCAGCACCCAGGACTTTGTTCCCACTAAGTACCTTACTCAAACAAGTGGGAGAAGAAACACAATGCATTTTTTCTCACCTGTCCAGAACAAGATCTGGAGCAAAGATGAGCTTGCCGGGGTGGTCAATTGAGCGCCACATCAGCCCCACCATTAACACCTCCATCCAACAGCTCTCCAAGAGCCGCACTTGGTCAAACAGGCTGAGCTCCACAAAGCCTGGGGAAAGCAAAAGGCAGTGAGACACCCGCACCCTCCTCCTCAGCCTTCTGTGTCTGTTGAGACAGAATGGCAAGTGTTAAAACATTAAGAAAACACAAACCATTAGGGAATCGATATTTTATAGATATGATTGACTACTCATTAAAGGAAGAAAACTTTGAAGTTAAGCTGCGTGACTCAGTTTCCAGTCTTGGACCCCTTCTAGAGACAAATATACTTCATTTAGAGTTTGTCAAGCATGACGACCTGGGCTCAGAACTGATCTTGGTTAGCTGTGTCCTGATAATTCCTCTGCAGTAGTGAGAAGGTTGATGCTTGGTTGCCAGTCAGAGGAGCTGTCTGTCTGACCCAGTCTTTGACTGGGATCAAAAGGGGTGGGGGAATGGGGTAGGTGGAGGTTGGAGTTGGAGGCTTGCAGACAGCAGTGTCAGCCCCCGCAGAAAGCCAAGGCCTCAACTTCAAGGATTTCTCTGATTGCTTAAAATTTCCCATCCAGTGTTAAGATCCTTCCGGGTAGAAGCACTGTTTCTGGGCGATTCTATCCTAAGCAGCAAATATCACCAAGCACAGTGGCGCACACCTGTAATCCCAGCACTTTGGGAGGCCAAGGCGGGTGGATTGCCTGCACCCAGGAGTTTGAAACCAGCCTGGCCAACATGGAGAAACCCCATCTCTACAAAAAATTATCTGGTCATGGTGGCAGGTGCCTGTAGTCCCAGATACTCTGGAGGCTGAAGTGGGAGGATTGCTTGAGCCTGGGAGGTCGAGGCTGCAGCAAGCTGAGATTATGTCACTGCACTCCAGCCTGGGCAACAGAGCAAGATCCTGTCTAAATAAATAAATAAATAAAATAAAGAGCAAATATAATAACAAAGCAGGTCCTGACAACCTAATAACCCATGTTGGTCACAGTACTGTTTGGAAACAGGTAATCTCTGGGGAAGGAAGCACTTCAAAAGCAAAGCAGAGAACACCGGGGCTTCCTTCACAAGCCATGATAAAAGGAGACGGCCATGTAATATAAATATGGTAACAAAAGACACAGCCTTGGAGTGAAATGGACTCTGGTTTGAACTCTAGCTCAGCCTCTTTCTAGCTGGTCACTTAATCTCCCATTAAATCTTTGTTTTTCTTATAGGAAAATGGAGGTAACAATGCCTATCTCTGAGAATGTCCTATAGGCAAGATCTCTTATTCTTGTTTTACAGATGAGGAAACTATGGCAGAGAGAACATATGTGTTCAAGTCTTTGAAAAATTATAATGTAAATCTGTCTCAAGGAGAATGTAATGGTGTTATGAGTGTAAAGATGGATAAATACTTTCTAAATCCACATGCTTTGCTCAGTTTAGGTTCCTAATATGTATACACCTTCCCAATCTCACCCACAGTAATAGACAATAAGCCTACCCAAGAGATCACGGTTCTTAACCTTGTAAATATTCAACAAGATCAAGGCTAGATGATATTTTAATTTTTTTTTTTTTTGGTTTGGACAGTGACCATGCTAGGTAAGAGAGGCGGAAAAAATCACACCTCCAGACTATGCCTACGTTTCCTGAAAACTTTTCAAAACACCAGGCTTGAATAAGGAATAACGCAGTTTAAGAGTTCAGATTTCTTATGGCACAAAGAAGGGGCACAACTTTCAGCAATAATTAATTTCATCACTGCACTCCGTGTGTGGTCCTGCAAAATCGTGTTTGGAATACACTTAAAGCAAAAACTAGAGGAAAGTGCATCAGGATTGCCTCCTCCAGGAAAAAGCAGAGAAAAAAATAATTCTGGCAAAGGTAAAGATGCTAGACAAAACAAAATACAACTCGAAACCAAAAATCCTCAGGAAGCTCAGAAGAAATGGGCCCAGTTCAACAAAAGTCCCCAAATGATACTGTCACCGTAGGCCTCAGTTCCCTGGGCTCCTTACCCGAAACTTCTCTTCCCCCAGCTTCTCGCCCCTCCTCATCTTTACAGCTTGCCCAGTGCAGTCGTTGCCCCCCAGGTCATGGGAACGCCCCCAGTGACTCAGAACTTGTAAGAGGCTTCATTTCTTCAAGGACTGTAAAGAAGGGCATGGAGAACCTTTCACAGGGGGATTGTGGGGTGTTGCCATTTTAGGTTAGAATCCTAGATTCACTCTTTCACAGAAACACCACGTCAAATGATAATTAGCTGGTAATTTCAGCATCATATAGCACTTCAGGTCTGTATTACAAATGGGCTTGGGAGAAGTGATCACTTTAGAGGATGGAAAATGCAGGTTCCAAATGATAACTCATGAGTAACTAAGCTCATTTTTAACTTGATGGCATTCCAAGTTTATGGGCCCACTGATGATTCATGTAACTTCAACCACTGATTTACTCTCTTTGTCCATACATATTCATTTGTGTATATAATACTGATTCTCTATTGGAACAATAATTTACAAAATTCTATTTAGCATCTGACAAACCTTTCACTTTCAAACTAGTCATACTGTACTCTACCCCACCCTACCCAACCATGCCCCTCCTCTCAAGGTGAGGAATCCAGAGCCAAGAAATGGGGCAATGTAGAGTCTACCTTTTAACCATGTTCCAGGTTCCAGGACTCTAGGATTTCTTGCCCAAATGACCCCAAGCCCAGTTCCAGAGTCTGGGTGGGTTCCCTGGGTCCATCCTCCCAGACCACCTCTAGGCATGAGAGGGGGCCAACAGGTGAGTGTCTGTAGCAGATGTGGACACACAGGATAGGGTTTGTGCCAGGTAGTATGGGAAGCATCTAGCCACAGGAAAAGAAGAGAGTCAAGAATAGAAATGGCTGGGCCATGCACAACTCTTTCTTCACTACCATGTTGGGTACAGAACTCACAGTCGTCTCAGAATTCTAAATCAGAACGTGGCCTTGTTGAAGGTAACTATGCCAAGACGGGAGGAAGGAACATATTGCACTCAAAAGTTACGAATCCAGCTGAGAAACCGTTAAATATCTAGGCACAGCTCACAGACCTCTACTTTATACTCTTGTCCTTTAAATATTAGCAGCAGGCCTTTCTACAAGTACACGGAAAACTAATAGCCCGAAAGCCCTACCGGGAATCTTCTTGGCCCAGCTGATCATGTGTACCAACTCCTTGTCGGCCAGCTTGGTCAGGGACATCATCATGGAGGCCTCAGTGAAGGGCGCGCTGGGGCGGCTGATCAGTACATGGGGTGGCTCAGCCTCCAGGAGGGTGAGCACCAGCTGCTCGGGACTCAGGGCGTCCAGCAGCAGCTCCCGCACTAGGGGCACGTGGCTGCCACTCCTCTTGGCCTTGCTGGCGCAGTGCAGTTGCTCGTCGGCACTTCTCTGTCTCCGCACAAGGCGGTACCCACATCTCTCTCTCCGGGAGCCTGAAAAGGAAAGCAGGGTCATTCAAATTGTTGGGGTAAAACCGCAGTCAAGTAAAGAAGCTTGACTTTTATTCTTTGGAGCCTGTGGGGCACGTACCAAAGATTACTATGGTCGTGATTGTACTAGGAAAACCAACGACATAACTTTTCAGGAACTTTTTAGGTCTCCATTTCCAGGTCGTCTATAGATACTGACACCATTTCTCTATAAAGAGTGCTCATAAACCTGTTTCCAAACCATGAAATTAGGAATTTTCTTCAGGTAGAAAAATGGGGATATTTCCAAAGGTATCAAATAATATACTTTTAACACATTCTTAAAATGTTTATATGCATGTGTGCATATGTATATATTTCTTTATTCATACTTACACAAGTATATTTCAAATAGCAAATTAAGTGAAAAAATCTGGAAAATATGGAAAAGAATAAATTTTGGCAAAAATTCTTTCAGTCTTTTTAATACTTTTATATTTTTCCATGTTTTATATACAAAATTTTTTTGTTGTTGTTTGTTTTTGAGACGGAGTCTCACTCTGTCACCCAGGCTGCAGTTCAGTGGCGTGATCTTGGCTCACTGCAACCTCAGCCTCCCAGGTTCAAGCAATTCTCCTGCCTCAGCCTCCTGAGTAGCTAGGATTACAGGTGCCCACCACCATGCCCGGCTAATTTTTATATTTTTAGTAGAGATGTGATTTCACCATGTTTGGCCAGGCTCGTCTCAAATTCCTGACCTCAGGTGATCTGCCCATCTCAGCCTCCCAAAGTGCTAGGATTACAGGTGTGAGCCACCATGCCCAGCCTTTATACACAAAATTAGATTGTAGTATATACACTATTTTATTTTAATCGTATTTTTGAGACAGAGTCTTGCTCTGTTGCCCAAGCTGGAGTGTAGTGATGCAATCACAGCTCACTGCAGCCTTCCTCTCCTGGACTCAAGCAATCCTCCTGCCTCAGCCTCCCAAGTAGCTAGGACTACAGGAACATGCCACCATGTCTGGCAAATTTTTTAATTTTTTTTTAGAGATAGGGTCTTACTATGTTACCCAGTGCTCAATAGTTTGACAATCTATTTTCTCAGAACGCATTGGGCATTAAAAATCATTTTTAATGTTTGCTAATCTAACAAGTGACTAAACCATCTTGCTTTACTTTATATGTTTTAATTACTAGCAAAGTTGATTTATATGCTTGTTCTTTGTATTTATTTACTCTTTTTTTTTTTTTTTTTTAGAGACAGGGTCTCTGTCATCCAGGCTGAAGTATGGTGGTATGGTCATGATCACAGCTCACTGCAGCCTCAACTTCCCAGGCTCAAGTGATCCTCCCACCTCAGCCTCCTGGGTAGCTGGGACTACAAGTGTGCACCAACACACCTGACTAATTTTTGTATTTTTTGTAGAGACAGGGTCTTGCCATGTTGCCCAAGTTGGTCTCGAACTCCTGGGCTCAAGTGATCCACTTGCCTTGGCCTCCCAAAGTGCTGGGATAAGCCACCACACCCAGCCCAATAAGTAAGTTTTGGTGATATAGAAACAAGGTGGAACCAAAATACCAAACAATAACATGTAAAATGAGAGAGGAATTATTTTGGTTAGAATTTCTAAGATTCTTTTTTGGGAAGACAGAAGCTTAAATTCTCGAATTAATCAAGAACACATGTTAAAAAGCAGAAATATCGTTAAAGGAATTGAAACATGGCCAAGCATGGTGGCTCACACTTGTAATCCCAGCACTTTAGGAGGCCAAAGGTGGTGGGGGAAGGCAGATCACTTGAGGTCAGGAGTTCAAGACCAGCCTGGGCAACAGAGTGAAACCTAATCTCTACTAATAATACAAAAACTAGCTGGGCATGGTGGGAGACCCTGTAATCCCAGCTATTTAGGAGGCTGAGGCGGGAGAATCACTTGAATCTGGGAGGCGGAGGGTGCAGTGAGCCAAGATCACGCCACTGCACTCCAGCCCTAGTGACACAGTGAGACTCTGTCTCAAAAGACAAAAGGGAATTCAAACAGAATGCATGACTTTTAAACTAATAAAAGAAGAAATAGAAACAAAAATGTGATCAACTCCCAAAACGGAAGAAGTAGAAAATACATAATAAAATTTTTTAAATCACAAAATAAGGTGATAGAAATGAACCCAAATATCAGTTATCACAATAAACAAAAAATACCAAATTGACCATTTAAGAGTGACCTGAAATCGTACATATTTTTAAATCTAGACATAGATTAGTTGTAAGAGATACAACTAACACATAGGAAAACAAAGTAGACAGATAGAAAAATATATAACAGGCAAAATTAACCAAATAAATTGACGTTACTCTACTGATACCAGACAAATAAACTTTAAGGCAAAAATTATTATTATAGATAAGGAGACTTGTTGCTAGAATATTTTAAAAAGATAAATAATTCTAAACTCATATACTTCAAAACAACCAAGGCCAGGTGCGGTGGCTCACGCCTGTAATCCCAACAATTTGGGTGGCCAAGGTCGACGGATCACCTGAGGTCAGGAGTTCAAGACCAGCCTGGCCAACATGGAGAAACCCTGTCTCTATTACAAATACAAAAGTTACCCAGGCATGGTGGCGCATTCCTGTAGTCCCAGCTACTCAGGAGGCTGAGGCAGGAGAATCGCACAAACCCAGAAGGCACAGGTTGCAGTAAACCGAGATCATGCCATGCACTCCAGCCTAGGTGACAGAGCAAGACTCTGTTGAAAAAATAAATAAACAAACAAACAACAAAACACAGCGTCCAAACACTACACAAAAGTGATTGAAAGAAAAAGAGAAACTGACAGATGCACTATTATAATGGGATATTTAAACCTCTCAACAGCTGAAAGAGCGAAGAGTCAGAATGCAGAATATTTGAACCACATAATTAACAAGCTTGATCTACAAAGGCCATAGGTATTTTGCAAAAATTATCACATACTAGGCAATGAAGAAAATCTTAAGTAAAATAGGCATAAGACCATTTTCTCTGACCATAAGAAAAATGGAAATCAACAACAAAAATATAACTTCCAAATCCCTATATATTTGAGCACCAAAATCTTTATAAGTTTTCACTGGTTAAAGACAAAAATGTAAAATGGAAATTAAGAAAGACACATTATAAGTAAGGATATCATTAGCATGGTTACAACTTTTATATGAATCTCCCTTTAAAAAAAAAAAAAACCCTAAAAGTTGAAATCTGCAAAATGCTTAGTTTTATACTCCCATCATTATGTTTATTCACTAAATTAAATTGTTTACATTTTTAAAATAAATATTAGTTAGAAAATATGAGCAAATTTAAATTATTGGCTACCGGGAAAATTTGTCAGAATTTCCTCTTAACATTGACTAGTTATAGTAGAAGAAAGGGCTCTATTTATTCAGAACATTTGAACCAAATTTACTGCTAAAAGAATTAAAGGCCTAAAATACAATTCATTTTATTAGTAATCAAGTAGAATGCTATGGATATTTAAGGTCAATTATAAACCCAGGATAAAATGGAGCAAAATGTACATTTTTCTTAATTTTTTTAAATATACTTTAGGTTCTGGGATAGATGTGCAGAACATGTAGGTTTGTTACATAGGTATGCACGTGCCATGGTGGTTTGCTGCAAAATGTATGATTTTAAAAAGCACCTTTCTGCCAGGCAAGGTGGCTCATGCCTGTAATCCCCCAGCACTTAGGGAGGCTGAGGCAAGAGGATCACTTGAGCCCAGGAGTTCAAGACTAGCCTGGGCAACACAGTGAAATCCTGTCTCTACAAAAAATACAAAAATTAGCCAGGTGTGGTGGTGCACACACCTGTAGTCCCAGCCACTCGGGAGGCTGAGGTAAGAGAATCAATTGAGCCCTAGGAGGTCAAGGTTGCAGTAAGCCAAGATTGCGCCATTGCACTCCAGCCTGGGTTGCAGCAGAGTGATGCCCTGTCTCAAAAAAAAAAAAAAAAGTACCTTTCTGATCATACATTTCTTTTTTGTAGAGTACATAAGGATAAAGAACTACAAAACAGATTTATATACCATTTACATACCCAAAGTGAGAGATTTTGAATTTATATGTTCAAATTTACTTAACAAATTTTCACTGACAAAGTCGAACATTCTAGGTCCTGTAGTGAGTTCTGAGGATTCTAGACTCAATAAATAAAGCCCTTGACAAGGAACTCATTTTTCTATCAAGGATGTTTCTAGTGTTGTGGCTTTGACACTGTAACCTAGGCAGCTGCCTCTGAGTGAGCTTAATGAGCAGCTCCACCAAATAGGAGTGCTCCATATTAGGCAGTGGTAAATAACCCCAGCCAAAGATGATGATGATAGTAGTGATCAACGATACTAATGGCAGCTAATGTCTACTGGAAGCTTCTATGCACCAGGCATTGCATATTGCACATATCCTGACAGCTACCCTACAGTACAGGAGCTATTACTGTCTCCAATGTACAGAGGAGGAACCAAACATAAGCTCAAATACCTTGTCTAAGATGGCATAGCTAGAAAATAGCAGAAGCAGGATCTAAACCCAAGCAGCAACCTAAATCCAGAGCTGGTGCTTTTAACCACTATTTTATACCACCTACCTATCAAATCCCTTTCATGGAAGACTATACAGCAGGTGTATAAAGATATGGCACCCAAAATATGTTGAGCTATTGTCCCAATACAGGGATATAGGCCAAATACATGGCTATTTAGATGGATTTCCTGGCTCCTTACATTTCAGTGTATCCTTATAATGAAGTTTCATCCATAAAGTTAGTCTAGGTGGGTGTTGTCCTACCGTTGTATGACCACATCCACACTTCAGTAGAAAAGGCAAGATCAGAAATTCAGAAGAAAAAGGTGATAACAGACTACATGGTTTCAGAATAAAAGAAGCGGGATGGTGCAGGAGGATCCAACACGCAAGTATAATCTCTAATCCTCCGAGACCTGATGGAAGAAAAAGTGTGCAGAGAGGGTTTTTGGGAGGGCAGATAAGAAGAGTGATGGGAAAGGACACAGACAGAGTTAAGAAAGTTCACCGCTAATGGTCTTTCTCTGCGGTCAGTGAAGGGCAAAATATTCCATTGTATATGTGCAACAACCCATCTCATTTCTTCTGTAATCTCCAAAGAGAATACAGTCTTTTCTTAGACTTTCTGGCTAAATTCAACAAACTTTCTCTCATTCCCTTTTCTATGAAATCTTTAACTATCCCTCTGTACTCTGTCTCATGAAATGGTGTTGTATCAAAACTCATATGAGCTTTTCAGGGAAGGAGAGAGAACAGAAGGAAAACTAAAATTGAGCATCAGGTACTGTGCTAAGTCTTTATATATGTTTTCACACTTATTCTTTACAAAACCCAGTGAAGCAGATATATCTGTTCAGAGATATGAAAACCGAGGGCCAAAGAGGTGATTCAGTAGTTTGAGCACAGTCACAGTCAGCAAGAAGTGATGAAACAAAAATGAAACATAGGCCGGGCACGGTGGCTCAAGCCTGTAATCCCAGCACTTTGGGAGGCCGAGACGGGCGGATCACAAGGTCAGGAGATCGAGACCATCCTGGCTAACACGGTGAAACCCCGTCTCTACTAAAAATACAAAAAACTAGCCGGGCGAGGTGGCAGGCACCTGTAGTCCCAGCTACTCAGGAGGCTGAGGCAGGAGAATGGCGTAAACCCAGGAGGCGGAGCTTGCAGTGAGCCGAGATTGCGCCACTGCACTCCAGCCTGGGGGACAGAGCAAGACTCCGTCTCAAAAAAAAAAAAAAAAAAAAAAAAAAAGAAACATAGACTCTATGGGATCCAACCTTCATGCTCTTCCCAGCATCCACTGCCTTAAGCCATGAGGGCTACAGCTGTGCAATGGATCCTAGTATAATAAAAGCATTCTTAAGACGAAGTTGGAAATCACTTTTTAAACACACACACACTCACCTTAAAATACTGTTTAACTTAAAACTTAAAACATTTATTTGCAATCTTTCGTCAGAGTGCCAAGGCTTTCTCTTTATGCATCTGGGCCAATTAGACAAAGTCACTTTTCTGCATAAACATACCCATGAGATATTATCTCTGGATTTTCAGTTTCAGCTTCTTTAAAACAAAAACAGAGCAAGAACCTAGATACTTCTAAGGAATTCTGAATTCAGGATCTCCCAAGGTTTATGTTTTGTTTCGTTTCTTCCCCCAGTCTCAGCCATATCTATCTCAATAGCTATTAGTCCTTTAAGATTTTATTCAAAACTTTCAACTAAACATCAACCCCCGCCTGACGGAGTCTCACTCTGTCGCCAGGCTGGAGTGCAGTGGCATGATCTCGGTTCACTGCAACCTCTGCCTCCCAGGTTCAAGCTAGTCTCCTGCCTCAGCCTTCCAAGTAGCTCAGACTACAGGTGCACGCCACCATGCCCAGCTAATTTTTGTATTTTTAATAGAGACATGGTTTCACCATGTTGGCCAGGATGGTCTCAATCTCTTGATCTCATGATATGCAGGCCTCGGCCTCCCAAAGTGCTGAGATTACAGGCGTGAGCCACCGCACCCAGCCTTAACTAAACTTTCACAGAAAAAAACTTGTCTTTTCCTATTCATGTTTGCACAAATTTTAATTAAATTTTATAATGTAACAATTACAGTGAGTAGAAACAGGTTTGAGAAGAAGCTCACTGGTTTCTGATAAGGACAAAGTGAAGCGGTGGGAATGGAAATGTTTAGGTGTTCGAGAGAGTAACCAACACACACTGTGAGGCTATGGGCACAGGCAGGGTGTTCTACAGAGGAAATGAAGATCATCGGTGACTCTAGGAAGCCAGAGAAGTGTGATCAGATGAAGAGAACTTCTGCTGTAACTGAACTATAATAGCTGAGCGTTCTAATCTGTTACATACACAGAGAAAAAGAAAAGGGCAGAGAATGCTCACGAGGCAGAGCTACTAAGAAATTGTCAGGGAGGGCGGGGCGTAGTGGCTCACGCCTGTAATCCCAGCACTTTGGGAGGCCGAGATAGGCGGATCACGAGATCAGGAGATCGAGACCATCTTGGCTAACACGGTAAAACCTGTCTCTACTAAAAATACAAAAAATTAGCCGGGCATGGTGGAAGGCACCTGTAGTTCCAGGTACTCAGGAGGCTGAGGCAGGAGAATAGCGTGAACCCGGGAGGCGGAGCTTGTAGTGAGCCGAGATCATGCCACTGCACTCCAGCCTGGGCGACAGAGCGAGACTCTGTCTCAAAAAAAAAAAAAAAAAAAAAAGAAAGAAAAGAAAAAGAAATTGTCAGGAAGTAAAGTGATAGATTTTTGCTTTAAATTCAAATAATTACAATGAGAAATTACAGCCAACCACAGGTAAAATACTGGCAAGCAGAAGAGTAAGTGCAGGCTGAGCTGCTTGGAGTACATATAAACAAGCAAGTGAGTACAGACAAGTGAACCAAAAGCTAGCCAGGTGGAGAGAGCTGGGTGTTGGCATCTTTGTCAGTTATATACTAAAGTGCTCACTTTTCTTTGTGTATAAAATATATGTGAATATATGTGAGTGTATAAAATACATATGAATATATGTGAATATATTACATATACATATGTATACATCTATTACTGTCATAGAACAAAATTTTTGCTGTATGTGCTTTTCATAGTTCCATTATGTTTCTGACTCCTGCATATTTTTCCACTTCTAGAAAGCAAGACGAGGGGATAGGTATGAGCCTCCCCATGGCTACCCCAGTAACCCACAAGATATTCTACTTTTTTGTCACAAGCTTTAACCATGGACATTTACCAGGATGTCATCCTTAGAACTGAACTTTTCAAGATCACAGACAGATGGCCACCCAGCCCTGTTTGAGGATTCCAGCGGCTAGAAGTCCCCTAAACCATCTGGTGGCCTATTTATTCTGTGGTCAGACCACTTGAACTGTAGAAAGTTCTTCTCTACTTGGGGCCAAAATCTGCCTCCCATAATTTGTTCCCACTCACCCCAGCTCTGTCCTCTGCAGTTACTGTGGATAAGTCAATGCCCCCTCCAATGTGACAACACACAAATACTTAATTACTATGTCCTAAATCTTCTCTCTTCCTAGCTACTGTCCCCGGTTCCTCAGAGGACAGGGCTTTTAGCAAGGCCCATATACAATAAGAAGGGAAGCAAGCACTCACCACACTTCACCATTCCCACTTCATAACACTTCCGAAGTCGGCAGGCCTGGCAGCTCTTGCGCCGGTTTTTATCGATTGTACACTGATTTGTAGCTGGACAAATATAATCATTATGGCCTATAACAGAGTGGGGGGGAAGAAAGATTATTGATACAATCTCTTGGTTAAATCTCTTCCTGGTCAACAACACTGATAACACTTTCCAGCTGAGAGACAGGGGACATCTTCTTAATGACCAGGATAGGTACAAAGGTAAAGTCAAGCTACACTGACACCTTGTTAATGAGTAAAGGAGACCTAGGAACATTTCAATATCCTGGTTTTTGACTAATATGTTATTCTCTGCATATTCTTGGAATTCTCAAAAGAGAGATATAAAAATATATCCATTGGATATGGAAAATGAGACAGTAACATTAAATTGATTTGCTCCAAGTCACAGAACTCAAGAGTTGTAAATCAAGCCATCAAATTCAGCTTTTTATATTCTCTTACATGTATCCCTCTTTTGGGTTTAATATAATATTTTAATGGGAATTCATAGTCAAAATAACAAAAGGAACAAAGAAAGAAATTAGCATTCTAAGTAATGACAGAAAGTACTACTATTGACAAGAGTTGTGGTGGATTACTGTTCTCAATTCTTCATTCTCTCCCTCGGCCTTGCGACCCTGCAGTGTACTAGAGTGGGCAGAGAGTAAACACTTCCCTACCAACTGATGTTGGGCTTGACCACAGGACTTTCTATAGCCAATGATATATCAATAGATGTGCTGCTCCAACAGTTTGGCTAGGCCTCTCGAGCTCCTGTGAGGTAGCCACTGGTCCAAGAAGAACGTGGGGACATGTGGAACAGACCTGACCTCTCCAAAAGCCTGGAACCAAGTTTATCAAGTGGAGTTACTCTAAACAACTCAAAGACATAGAAGTACAGAAAATAAGACTCATTGTAGTAAAATCCTAAGAGTTTGAACTTGTTAGTTATATAGCAATCTCTAAGACAATGATATTTTTAATTCTTTTATGCAAGGAAGAGCTAAGAATATTTACATTTCAAAAATCATTTCAGATGCAGTACGAAGAACCAATGAGAGGCAGCAAAGCTGATGAGGCCAGGAGACCAGATGACAGCCTGCTATATTTGTGCAAATGAGAGATGATGTCTGGACGGGGTGTTGGTAGGGAGGATGAGGACAGCTACATGGGTCTGAGAAAGGGTTAATAGAAATTATAACAAAATAGGTGAAAAGCAGAAGTGAAAGTGAGTAGGACATTTTGATGCCTTTCTAATAAATAATATGGCCTGAACATCTTACATTAAGCCTATAATGAACCAGAATTTCAGAGCGGAGAATAAATGAATCTCAATAATAAATGAAATGAGCAAGTCATAAAAGAAAAAAGTCGCAAAAGAATATGTAGGAGAAGACATGAACACAAAGTTCAAAAACAGAGAAAATGAACCTGCATTATTTAGGGATGCATGTGTAGGAGGCAAAACCACACACAGCAAGGAAGGCAGAAATGAGGGCTTCCCACCTCTGCAGGGAGGGAAGCGGGTGTGGCAGGAGGGACCACCCAGAGGGATTCTGGGGAGCCATTACATTCTATTTCATTGTTTGAGCACTGGTTACACAGGGATTTGCTTTATAATCATTCTTTAAACTGGACATGTTACATGCAGAATTCTACACGTTAGCATACAATGAAAAGGTAATTTTTCTCTTTTTTTTTGAGACAGACTCTTCCTCTATTGCCTAGGCTAGAGTGCAGTGGCATGATCTTGGCTCACTGCAACTTCTGCCTCCTGGGTTTAGGTGATACTCCTACTTTAGCCTCCCAAATAGCTGGGATTCAGGCACCCACCACCACACTCTGCTAATTTTTGTATTTTTAGTAGAGATGGTGTTTGGCCATGTTGGCCAGGCTGGTCTCAAACTCCTGACCTCTGGTGATCCGCCTGCCTTGGCCTCCCAAAGTGCTGGGATTACAGGTGTGAGCCACCACAGCTGGCCAGAAGAGGTAATTTAAAACCTAATTGTAACTCCAATCTTGAAACAGTCTCCACAGTCTCTTATATCTACATGAATGTCTCATGTTGCAAAGAGATATCTGCACTTCTATGTTTGTTGCAGCATTATTCACTATAATGTAAGCAAAGAAGATGTATATGAAGTGCAACAATGTTTTTCAAGCTTTCTTAGGCTCCTTTTCTTCTATTACACTTAAATTATTAACTACACTTCATATCTTTTTTTTTTTTTTGAGTTTAAATGCATTTTATTTTTAGACAACCTACATGACATGTTTTTCTTAAAAACAATGCCTCCACTCCAAATAAATCACGGTCAAAATAAATGAAGAGCTCAAGATGACATCAGTCCCATTTGTCTTAAGTCCTGGTGTTGTGTGGATGACAAGCAGAAGCCAGTTATGATGACAGGTGATAGATCCAAAGTAATTGCCAAATTTGTTAACATTTTTCCATTTCTAAACCATCCTGAAAGAAAATCATATATGGGGTCACACCATCCTCACGGTAGACCAATAGAGCAACCATGCCATCTGGATTCATGTTTTCACCAATAAAGAACTGGTAGTTTTTGAAATTAGCAAGGATGTGCTTGATTTGTTCTGCAGCCCCTGTCATAAAAGGTTTTACTCTTTCTGGTCTCTGTTCTTCAAGTTTGCCTTTGATTTCATGTAATCTTTGATGTACTTCTTGTAGGCTTCTTTTGTGAAACTTGTTTCCTGCAGATGATGGTTCATGACAATATCGACACCAGTGATTACTGTGCTTTGGGTACCTTCGCCCTCTGGGCCTTTAGCGGAGGCATTTCCACCAATGAGCGAGTCATCAGTGTTACCTTCTGTCCTACTGACCATCTTCCCCTCCACCTCCAGGCACAGCCCATCCACGATCTCCCGGATCTTGTAGATGTCGGAGAACATCTCATCGTGGCTGACGAGGTCCCGGTAGATAATCATGACGGCGACTGAAGGGAGACGACGGGGGCGCTAGCTTAGCAGGAGCCCGAAACTCGGAGTGAGCGCGGTGTAGCCCGAGCGGCGCTTGGGGGAAGCGGGGAGCGGGCGGAAAAGCCACTTCATATCTTTTATTTCAAACAATAGCATCTCTAGTATGGTCCAATTTTATTAAAGTGCTTTGATCTATCTTTTTTTTTTTTCCCCCGAGACAGGGTCTCCCTCTGTTGCCCAGGCTGGAGTTGCAGTGGTGTGATCTCAACTCACTGCAACCTCCACCTCCTGAGCTTAAGCAATCCTCCCATCTCAGCCTACCATGTAGCTGGGACTCCCACTTTTCCACTCCTACTACCCTTCCTAGCCTCTGGCAACCATTCTTCTACTCTATCTCCTTGAGTTCAATTGTTTTCTTTTTTTTTTGGTGGTAGCGGGGAGATGAAGTCTCACTCTGTTGCCCAGGTTGGAGTGCAGTGGCGTGATCTCGGCTCACTGCAACCTCCACCTCCCGAGTTCAAGCAATTCTCCTGCCTCAGCCTCCCAAGTAGCTGGGACTACAGGTGCATGCTGCCATGCCCAGTTAATTTTTCGTATTTTAGTAGAGACAGGGTTTCACCGTGTTGCCCAAGCTGGTCTTAAACTCCTGAGCTCAGGCAATCCACCCGCCTCGACCTCCCAAAGTGCTAGGATTACAGGCATGAGGCACCACAATTGTTTTCATTTTTAGCTCCCACAAATAAGTGAGAACATGGGACGTTTGTCTTTGTGTGCCTGGTTATTTCATTTAACATGACTTCCAGTTGCATCCATGTCGTTGCAAGTGACAGGATCTCATTCTTTTTTATGGTTAAATAGTGGTGTATATGTTCCACATTTTCTTTATCCATTCACCTGTGGATAAACATTTAGGTTGCTTCCAAATCTTGGCTACTGTGAACAGTGCTGCAACAAACACGGGAGTGCAGACATGTCTTCAATACACTGATTTCCTTTCTTTTGGGTACATACCCAGCAGTGGGATTGCTGGATCATATGGTAGCTCTATTTTCAGTTTTTTTGAGGAAACGTCAAACTGTTCTCCACAGTAGTCATACTAATCTCTATTCCGACCAAGAGGATAGCAGGGTTCCCTTTTCTCCACATCCTCGCTAGCATTTGTTATTTCCCATCTTTTGGATATAAGCCATTTTGACTGTGGTGAAATGATATCTCATTGTAGTTTTGATTTGCATTTCTTTGATGATTAATGATGTTGAACACATTTTTATATACCCATTTGCCATTTGTATATCTTCTTTTGAGAAATGTTTAGTCAGATCTTTTGCCTATTTTTTAATGGGATTATTAGATTTTTTTTCTAGAGTTATTTGAGCTCCATCTATATTCTGATTATTAACCCCTTGTCAGATGGGTAGTTGGCAGATATTTTCTCCCATTCTGTGGGTTGTCTCTTCATTGTTTTCTTTGCCATGCAAGCAGCTTTTTAACTTGATGTGATCCCATTTGTCCATTTTTGCTTGGTTGCCTGTGCTTGTGGGGTATTACTGAAGATATCTTTGCCGCAACTAATGTCCTGGAGTGTTTCCCCATGTTTTCTTTTAGTAGTTGCATAGTTTGAGGTCTTAGATTTAAGTCATTGATCCATTTGGACTTGATTTTTATATATGGTGAGAGATAGGGGTCCAGTTTTCCCAGTACCATTTATTGAAGAAACTTTTTCCCCAAGGTATGTTCTTGCACCTTGGTCAAAAATGAGTTAACTGTAGATGTATGGATTTGTTTCTGGGTTCTCTATTCTGTTCCATTGACCTCTATATGTCTATTTAAGGCTAGTACCATGCTGTTTTGGTTGCTATAGCTCTATGGTATAATTTATAGTCAGGTAATATGATTTTTCTAGTTTTGATATTTTTGCTCAGAATGGCTTTGGTTATTCTGGATCTTTTGTGGTTCCATACAAATTTTAGGGTTGTTTTTTCTATTTCTGTGAAAACGTCATTGGTATTTTGATAGAGATTGCACTGAATCTGTAGATTGCTTTGGGTAGTATAGACATATTAACAATATTAATTCTTCCAATCCATGAACATAGAATATCTTTCCATTTTTTTGTGTCCTCTTCAATTTCTTTCACT